CCAGCTTTTTATATCACTTCTTCTATCTTCTACCTCTTTTTGTCTTCAATCGCTCTTCAAAGAAAACCCTAAAGCCCTTCAGTAAAAGCAGTGCACCTGTGCGCAAGCCTGTGTTTTTAACCACGCATGAATCTTTTTACTTATTCGTATCTTCGGCTTTGATTGGTGTCTTGTGAAATGGCTCTGACCTTTTCACCTCAAAACCTCCGAGGTCAAACCTTGGTCAAAGACACACCCCACACAGGCACTCACACATGCACACAGACGCCGCGCCCTGCGTACTGAGACAACCCCAAAAAAAACCTGGAGTGAGGGAGTAGAAGACAAGGAGGGGAAAGCAGTATTAGCAGCAGGCGCGGGAGGAGGAGAAAACAGACATTAGCCTTTTTGGGTGGAGAACAAATGGAGCCCCGAGAGGGACGTGAAGAGGAGGAACGAGGGAAAGCGGGGGGAAGGAGAGGTGAAGCACACAATACTGTGGGGCACGGCAGTTGGACAGACAGCATCTGCTCTCAGCTCTCTGTGGTTCTGGTAATGGATGGAGAGGTAGAGAGGCTGAGAGCGAGGGAAGAAGGGAGACCGAGGTAGGAAATGTTGGAAGATGGAAGAGGGCATATAGTAAGACAGAATGCAGAGAAGATGTCAGACTTTGGAAAGTTTTTTTTGTTTTCAAGAAGTCACTTTCGGTGACAATGTGAAAACACGGAGAATAATGTCAATGGAGGGATGCAAGGATTTGAAAATACAGGGATGACAGGCATAAAAGGAAGACAGACAAAAGCAACGGCACATCTTTGCAATAGGAGAAGAACAGCTGATAAGGGAGGACACATGATACTTCTCAACGCCTTTCACGGTACCTCCCTCCCTCATAGAGATCATAGGGACTTCCTCTTTAAGTGCCAAGATGTGTGTATGCGAGTGGGCGGAGTGGTCACTGACAGAGAAAACTTGGCCTTCCCTGTCTTATGGAAATCTGAGAGTTTCCCAGAGCCATCATAAAAACTGCCTCTTTATGAGACCCCACCTCTCCTCTCTGCCTCGAACCCATTACCAGGCTCACACACATTCCTGTCTTATGAAAGATGATGTGTGTTGTCATTGGGGGTTCAAAGACAGACGAGGGGGGGGGCTGGGGAGCAAAAAGAAAAGGACACTAAGTGAGAATTTTCACTTGAGTCCTCACATGAAAGCGCCACTCGCTCAAAGTCAAGGCTTTGGTAGGCCGGGTGTGTTTTGGAAGACTTTGATGACGATGGACAGAGCGAATGAGAGGCGGAGAAGAAAGGAAAGAAGAAAGCGGGATCAGAAAAGGGGGGTTTGCCGAGGAAAGTAGAGCTGGGGTCTAAGTAATTAACGGCAAGCTTTTTAATTACCGCTGGTGTTCATTGTGCCAGAAGGAATGTGACAGTTATGCCATTAAAACTTTCTAATGGGGGGGGGAGCAGGGAATAACAGAAGACATGCAAAAAAAGGAGGATGAAAGAATGAAAGGAGGGACAGAACAGAAGGAAGAGAGGACGACGCGAGGGAATGAGGGAGGAGGGATATGAAAGAAGAAAAAAAAAGGGGGAAACAATCGCGACAAAAGAGGAGCTGGGAGGGAGATGGGGAGCGTATTAGGCCAGCACAGTGACAGAGCAGATTAGCATCAAACAAGAAAGGCCACAGACGTGTGTGTTTGCGTGTGTGTGTGTGTGTGTGTCAGCGTGTGTGATCACTGAAACAGAGGACATATTCATTCCAAAGACGCCACCAAGGTGGATGGAACTTTGATGATGCAGAATCTGGCAAAGGGAAAACTCAATGTGTGTGTGCGCGTGTGTGCTTGCTGAATCTGCGTAGGCTCCTGTTTCAAGTGGTGGTGCAGGCAGGTATGGGAGGAAGAGGAGGAGGTGGAGGAGAAAGGGGAGATATCCACAGAAAAGGGCCTTGGGGGCATCCTGATACACATCCAGTACATTTCCATCTCCACATTACCTCTATGACTCACAAACACACACACACACACACACACACACACACACACAAGTTTAAGACGGAAAAACATAACAAGTGTGCCCGCGCTCATATGTAACACGCACAAACACATAATTCCCACACAAACATCAAAAGGCAAAAAACACACAACCCACGCACCCGCACTTGCAAACACACACGATCATAAATAACACCCACACATACACCGAAAGCCACACACAAACACTTACGCGCAGAGTCTTCATGCTCACCAAGGCGGTTGGTTCGTCAGGGGGGTTAGAATTTGCATGGCTGGGCAAATTTTCCTTGTGCTAAACTCTAATCAGCTCCTGTATCTCTCAGACACCTGCCCAGCAAGAAAAAACCTTAATATGCAAAACACCTTCCCACCCTCCTCCAGCGCCGCAGCTCCTCGGCCAACAGAAGACTTATTCACCTGGACTCGCAAACTCTTTTCCTCTCTGTCTGTCTTCTTGCAAATTTTTACATTTATGCATGCAAATAGGCTGTTCCCCTCTGCCTGTTTCAACAGTAACTTCCTGGTTCCCTGGTGAAGAATGGGTCCTGTTTGAGGTGTTACGGGGAAATTGTGCATCAGAAAGAGAGGGCTTGTTAAGGGCGACAAGATTTGACCCCTGTTTGCGCAGGTGTGACAGTTGTTTTTTGTGAGCATTTGCAAACTCGGTTCCTAGAGGTTGCCGTGCCTGCGATGCGAATCAAACTTCTCTAAAATTCTTATTGTTATTTAGTCAAATTTTCTTATTTTGTAATGTGGTGTAAAAAGTTGCATGATCACCAGACATATTAATCTCCCGTTAAATTTTTTTTCTACATCTAAATGTGTTGATGGTAGAACGGCACACTTATACCCAAGATTAATGCAAAAATGACAGTCTAGAGGTTATACATTGATGCAAAAAAAGACTGATGCGGAAAAGTGAGGACAGAAAAAAACTAATTAGATCTGAACTTCTCCGTGAAAGGATTTTTTTTTTGTGAAATAAACACAGAACAATTTAATATAATAAAAAGGTTTTTACATTGTTACAAATCTCTATGTTAGGGCTGCTAGATTTCTGATTAACTGAGTTAGGCTATACAGGATTGTTCTATCATTAGGTTTTACTCAGTTGAATCTCCAACTTAGTGTTCCTAATACATGGAATGAAATGTGTGGAATAAATGAATGCGATCTCTTCTATGCACCTCATTGACATGTATATGTTTTTTGGGACCCTGTGCTTTTGGGACGTGATGGAAACTTTACGTTTGTGAAGTGTTTTTTTTCCAACTGGTCAGACACTGCCTTTTTACATTTCTGGAAAGCACAGGTGCATTTAAACTCCCTGTTTCTGAGTGAATTATTCCCCAACACACAGTAATGCTGTGTGAGGAATGCCATCTTTCTCAACACTGAAGTGTTTCTTTTTAAACAAGATACAAACATTTGTGTTTACCTTAAGCTTATCTTCCTGTCACTAGCAATGATTCCCGCTCTTATGATGTCAGCTAAATAGGATAAATTTGTCTTCACTCTGATGGACTTTCAGCTGATTTAGACCTCATATGTACAAGTGCCTCTGCCTGCCCGAGTCTTTCATAGCCTCCCTTAAGAGGTTTGAAGATGGATGTGGGGAAGTGTGTGTGTACGTGTGTGTGTGTGTGTGTTTGGGTGCACACAGAGCAGCCCCAGTGGACAAATAATGATGGAAAGAGACAGAAGAAAACGCAGAGAAGGAGAGTGAAGCACTTTAAATGTGAGAGCTTGCAAAACTCCCACTGCTCGCAAGGGCACTTCGCTCCAGCACGTCATCTCTCTTTTCCCCTTATTTCCTTCTGCCCTTCTTTCTCCCCTTTCCATTCCCCCTCAATTCCCCTTTTCCCCTTCTCTCTTCATTGCTCTCTCCTTTGTCTCCAAGCTCTCACCCTCCGTCCCCTATCCATCCATCTCCCTCCTTTCCCTCTCCCCCTCTTTCTCTCCCCTTCCTCTCACTAAAACAGTAGGACGCTTAACCTTGATAACAGTGAGATTTTCCCCCCCCCTCAAAGTGACACACTCTTGCACACACACGTACACACTCCTGAGAAGTGCTTTGCCAGCATGCCAGGCCGGTCCAAGGGACGGCTGTACCCTTCGAGGTGAACAGGACACCGGGAAATGCAGCAACAACAAAAACACACACACACACACACACACACACCCAGTCTCTCAAACGAACACACCATCACTCACACACACGCAAACACGCACAAATCCCGCTCACTCCTGGTCCTTCTTAGCACAAGCCCTTTAAAGGTCTTTTGTCAGCTGACATTGAGAGACAGAGTGTGTGTATGGGTGATCCTGAAACATTTCACACACACACACACACACACACACACACACAGAGGGTGGCAAAAAGAGAAGTGTGAAAAATGAAACCTATTAAAGGTGAAGTTGCCTGCTGAAAATGCATGATTACAATACAGTGGACGCACATGAAAATCACACGTGACTGTTGATGATAGGTAAATGAGGATGGGGAAGTAAAATGTAGTTATTTAAAAGAACACCCACACACACGTATTTCTGGTTCTAAGAATTGTCAAAGGGGAAACTGCTAGGGAGGAAGAAGTTAAATGAGTGGCGTGTTTGTAGGCTTCTTCATCATTAAGAGAGGATCTGCCTTCATAACCAGGCTGGAACAATCATTTTCCGACTTTGACATAAACTTTTTTGGCATCATAGCTTCAGTTTTCCTGTGTGTGTATTATTCAAAGACTCTTAAGCGTTTCTGAAGGAATGTAGTGTCACAAAGTAAAAATTGTGACTATGTACTGGCTGTAGAGAGGATTTGAAGTCGGCATTGAGAACAGTCACAGAGAGGACACAGTGAGATGGTATCAAGCTACCTGTCAGCCAAGTATCAGGTGAAAGCTGATTTTTTTTTTTTTCAGATTGGCTGCCTTTGCGTTCTGCTCGTCTTCATACGCCTATAGTTTTTAAACTTTAGTCTGCAGAGAGCTTCTGAAATGGTTACCTCAAAGTCGTTGGCCTTGTTGTAGTGCATGTTGAGGGCCCGGAAGAGCTCACAGTCCCGGCTGACGCTCAGCTCATCTGCGCCGGTGGCTCCGTCGTTGATGGCCTGGCGGGCAAACTTCTCCATCTGGATGTAGTAGAACTCCCTAAAGTTGCTGAACCACTTGATCAGCTGGGAGGTTATGCAGCGGTTGAACTGGAATGAAAGAATAGTGCAAGAGGGAAAAGTTAGAGCTACTTAGATTACCAGCCTCTGTGGTTTTATTCTCACTGATCGCTGGGAACCGAGAGGCATTTTGAATGAGTAAACATGATCTGTCACCGTGTTTCACATCAACATTTTGTAGAGACTGTCATGTCGGATCCTTATTTAGCTACTGGATTTGCGATCTGAGGGGAAGGTGGGAGGAAAACAAGAGATAAAAGATGAGCAGAGGCGAGAACACAGGTTGCTGAGTGAGGGATGACAATAGAGATATTAAGTAAGACAGCAAGCAAGAAGGGGGGTGAGGGAAGAAATGGACGAGTGGGAGAGAGTGTGTGTGGTTCATCCTCCCCACAGGGAGCAGACACCCCCCTATCATAACCCTGAGAGCGGAGGGAGAGGTGGAAGAGAGGGGGTGAGACCACAAACACATAATTGACCAGAAAAACGATTAAGTCATCATCTGAAGCGCCCTGGCCCGCAGGGGGCTCAAACATGTACTTAACCCCGTTCACCAATTACACCCTGATCCTCCTCCCCTCCCCACACCTCCCACAAAGGGTGAAAGGAGAAGAAAAAGAGCAAAATAAGAAGACACAGATGAGAAGCCCTGCAAAGACGGCAGCGCTTATCTGATCTGTCCTGGTGGTGGGGATTTAATAGCAAGTGCCTATCAGGAGCCACGGTTCTTTTATTTCCTCCTCTCAGTAAATATGCATTGCAAAAATCACAGAAAGTAGATGCTCTAAATAATCAAAATGCTGTGTTAAAAGTTTAGATCACATTCTGAAATGGTGTGCTTTCTTTCTGGCCTCTTCTCATCCACACCCTAGTTTAAACACACACACACACACACACACACACACACACACACACACACACACAGACACACACGTATATATTAATTTATCAGGTCTTTCGTTCCTCCCCTCCCTCTGCTCTTTCTGTGGTGCTGGAAGGAAGGGGGGACAAAATGCTACTAAATGCTGAGCGGACTGCTCACTGGGGAGGCAGAGTGGTTTTGACATGGAGATTAGACTCTGGCTATTGTTCGACAACACAGACACACGCACTATTCATGATCTGGGATGGCAGTCAAACGCACACAAGCCCACGAAGACGGGAGGGTGAGGTGGCAGAACGGAACAGGCTGAAAAGTGGACGAATCAGAGGAAAGGCAAGGTGGGACTGGGCTAAAGGAGTGGCTTTTCTGGAACCATCAGCGGATGACATAATGGCGGAATGGAAAAGAATAAGTCCGGCTGACATTGTTTGGCAGGGGTTTGAGAGAACGTGTGTGTTGCGGGGGGGTGGGGGGGGTAAGGGGAGGGAGGTGAGTAGCATGGCGGCTGTCCTAAAGTGCAGGGTGAGCATAAATGGAGAAAAGAGGGGGAGGAGGATGGGTGCAGGTCAGCGCTGTCAGACAATGGCGTTTCGCTGGTGGTGGTGGCGGCGGTGGGGGGTGTCCGGAACGTGAGCAGTCAGCAAGCTGGGGTCGTGACATCAGAGTGTCAAACAAACAAACTACTGACACTTACAAATACGTTGCTGCACAGGACCTATTCTTAAACACACACACAATGTGTCAGACAGCTGGAGTGTGACAGAGCACTAATACACTGTTCCAGCTCAGTTTTGACAGAGCGGCTCAAACCTTTTTCCTCTTCTCGGCAAGACCGAGGAGGAGAGACGGAGGCCCGTTCATTATGAATTTGAGACTTTGCAAAATTGCTGTTCATCCATGCGAGCACAGTGTGTGCTTACATGCCTCTGAGCGCGTGCAGGTCTGAGAGACATACTGAGATTAAAGGCAGTGAAAGAGTTGCCATCGCTCATGTGGGAGACCTTTGGTGTCACTGCAGCTGAGTGACGGGATACATTTGTCACTTTGGACAAAGATTACTTTATTATGCTGACAGCTTGGGAAAAGACATATTGGGGCCGGTGGAGCAGTGTTGTGGCTCAATCTCAGCACCGACCACAAGAAAAAGAAAAAAAAAGGATTGTACGTGCCGGTAAAAAGGGCTGCATTATATCCACATTACCAGCACTCAACACACACAGGGATTCAATTTTGGCAGGCCCTCCTACAGCTTCCAGCAGTCTTGGTTCATTAAGTTGTCGGTGGGGCAGAGAGACCCCCTGATAGCAGCTAAGGACGAGTGTGTTCTGTGTAAAAGGAGGCAATCGGTTCAAAGGAGCACATCACCGCAGCTCCCTAATCAGAGCTGGCAGGGGTCAGCCAGCACAGACATGAGACGCAATGAGGAGAGAATGTGTATGTTTGAGCGGACACACAGCGTTTGAGCATATAAATGCATTTAAGGTTGTGTGTGCGTGTGTGTCTGTGTGTGTGTGTGTGTGTGCGTGTGTGTGTGGGGTTGTGCGCCTGGCTGAGAGGCAGATGAGAGAGAGACAGTGAAAGCGTGTTTCTCACACTCACACTCAAGAGCCTGCGAAAGGTCAGCGCTCAGTGTTAACAGCACAAGATAGAAAGTGGTACGCACACACTCGCAGACATGCTCAGCTCATGCACACGTACTTAAGTCCAGAATGGGAGAACGCTCAAGTATCCTTAGTGTAAACTATATTAGTCGCCTGGAGAAAATATTCAGGTGTTTGGTCCCAGACATCCACACACACACGCACACACACACCCAATTATAATGTTTAAAATTGGTTTTACAGTTTTGGATTTGACTGGGATGTGTATCTGGGAGGCATTTGGATGGAAAGCCACACTATGTCTGGAGCCAACACTTTCTCTAACGTAGATGTCGACAATGGAGCAGAAAGCTCACAGATGACCTCAGAGTGCTCAGCAACATCCAGAACAACCGGAGAGGAGAGCAGAAAGACATGGAAGCCTGCACGGGCCTCCCTCTCTGTCTCTTTCTCCCCCTCTCTGTCGTAAGCCCCTTCACAGTCATCAGGGCTTTCCATCGTTTCCTGTTTTCGCAGGAGTGAATAGTGGGAGATAATCTCTGGCTGCTTATTGGCTGACTGCACACAAAAAGCGGCCCTGGAAAGCGGGCTTTTGTTGCTGCGGCGACTCAAAATCCAGCCGCTGGCTTTTCTTTCTCCCCGGCCCCGCCGAGGCACACAGACCATGCCACACCATCAGCGAAAAAAAGAAAAGAGAAGGAATGACATATAGAAAAGAGAAAACCCTCCTGACCTCCGCTACTCCATAGCACATGACTGGGTCCTGATACTGGGGCTAGTTGCTAAAAGCCAATGAGCGAGATAAAAAAAAGAAAAAAGAAAACTATCGGTCAGTTTGTAATGTGATGGAAAAATTGAAAGCCAATGTTTGAAATAAAGCTAAATTTGGAGCATCTTTAGAGACACTTTATTAGTTGGTTTAACGTATTTGTCCAGCCGGGGCATTGACCTGCTGATCCCTCCTCCCAACATAATCTTAAATGATAATGAGATTCTCTTAAAGGTAATGGATCATATAGGCTTTTATTAGCCATACTGACAATACCATTAACTGTCAAAACATTTCAGAAAATCCAGCAAAAACAAACAAACAAAGAAACAAAAAAAAAACAGTAGCATTCTTCTTTCGAGAAGCTTAACCAAGGGGAACAACAGCTTTAGCCTCCCCCAGTTGTTAGGGCAAACCACTTCACATGTTCATTAGGTTCTTGATGGCCCAGACCTGATTATTTGAGACCTGATTAACCTTAAAGACTTTTGTTTAAAGACATGCACTCAATACGAGCTTGTGCTCCCTTAATCCAAGTATAGTCTCATTCCCATACACTAATTTAAAGCCTGTGTCCATTGTTGTCTAATGAGAACAATAACAAACTAATGTGACCCATACTTCCCTATACATCTCGCCCTTATTTAAGTTTCTGATGAGTCTATTCACGATTGGACTATCTTAATTTGACAGATTCATCAGTGAAGCCATTCTTTTCAAAACCTTAATTTAGATGGATGTTAAACTAGTGAGAAGTATTCAACATTTCCAGAATGCTACCACTTAACCAACTTGTGCCCCTTTTTAAACCAATTCAATCGAACTCTCAGTGAAAAATCTTGTGAGCCCAGAGTCATGATTGTTGGTGATGGCATACAACAGGGGGCAGCTGGTAGAAAAGGGAACCTGTGATTTGAATGAGGGCCCGGATCTGTCACAGTATTTATCCCATATATGGTCCAAAAAGGCATACACACACACACACACACACACATAGACACAAAAAAACAAGAACTAGCAAAACAACATGAACGAACTCCATCCCATGCGCAGCAGCCGTTGCATTGCTCTTGTTTTCTGTACAGCTTACATATTGTGCTTTTCCCCCCCAAATGTTCCATCATTAAAGTCCCAGTGGAGCTACATTCATCCTTGCCATGTTCTCTAAACCAGCTTCTTCCCTTTGCCCCTCCCTCGACAAATCCCATTCTCCCTACACCTGGTCATAGAGCCACTCCTCCATCTCCAGGCTCCATCCTCCTCTCTGCCCTCTCCAACCTTCCATTACTCATCCCTCTCTGTATCTTTAGAATACTCGCAGGCTCTCCAGCTCCCTCATGTAAACCCATTCAACTTCCTCTTCTTTCATCTTTTGCATAAAACCATAACTTAGTGATTAGAAGGACCTCATTTGAAGACAGGCATGTAGTGTTCACTACAACTGAAGCCGGGACAACACTATTTATTCATCAGACTTTCCTTTTCAAAGCAGGCCTGTTGATAAAATACGATGAGGAAACTAGACAAAAGGCAGAGTAAGTGCAACAGCAGTGGGACACAACCAAAGCAATCTCCATTTCAAGATGCTAAAGTTATATTAAATCAATTTGAAAATACCAAAGCTGACAAAGTTACAGTGGTGTGTTCTATAAATTAAATGAACAAATAAATTACATATTCAACAGCAAAAGCAGGAAGGAATATCAAAAGCGTGTTTGGACTCACCTTGACATCGGAGAAAAACATCTTGAGCATGTTGGAGCTTGGGTAGCGGGTGTAGAAAAACATGAGCTTCGCCTTCTTCAGATGATTGGGGGAGAGACCTTCTTGGATCTGATAACAGCTGTCATTAAGGACATTAACAGTTGTTTGGATGCAAACAAACTGCTATATCAAGCAAACATGGGTATATGCCGAATACTGTGTACACTTGCTAATGACTGGGATTAAGTTTGGCAAGAAGTAGTCATTTGGATGATGGGTAACCAAATTTCCTTTTAGGCATGAATGCAAGGTTGCTGAGGGACTGGGGGGGGGCGGGGGGGGGGGGGGGAAGACAGTGCACTAAAGCAAAAACCATTTGCTTGCAATTAGCATCGTCCGTATCAGGTGTGAGAGCGTCACGGTAAATAAAACGCTGGCCAGCAGTACAGACAATTCTTTTACATAAGGAGGCTCATTTCACAGTCAAAGTAAGCAAACGCCTTTGCCTACACCCCGTGCTAACCTCCACCCAAAAAAGGAGGAAGAAAAAAGGAGACATTTGCATATCACAGACAAAGACAGCAGTTTACGCCAGTGACGGGCAAGGAGGCCTAATGGATTGGCGACAACACATGCCAAGCCTGAATATGACTGTCTGATGCTGGCTTCATATCACTGATGAGACAAAGTCTTGGAGATTTCAAATACGGGTCCCGGCAACATGAAAAACCTTCTCACACTCACATTGGCTATATTCAAATACATGTCGGGGGGCCTTGTCTTTCTAATGGATCGCCTGGATTGAACAGCACAGAGGATGGAGATGGGCTGGTGGGGGCACCTTGAGGGATAGTATGGTTCCAGCCTTCAATTACATCCCCCTCCTCCTCCCACTGCTCCACCCCTACCCCCAAGCCTCTCAGCCACTGCCAAACCCTTCGAGGAGCAAAAGAAGAAGGAGGAGGAGAAGCAGAAGAGCGGCACTGAGGCTTTGGACTTGGCCAATGATGGGAAGACTGAAACACATCTGCGCCACCGAACTGCCCAAGCCATTTCCATGGTGAATTAACTGCTGTATAATGCATCCGATAATATCAATCTGGAGGATAAGACATTGAAAAGGGAACCACGGTGGGGGCTGGGTGCATGTTAAAAACCTCAGGCAAGGCAGGGACTGAAATCAGACAGAATGACCAACCCTAAGTTTTCAGGAACGCTGTTTACATGCCGCTGATTATTTATGATATACAGGTGTGGCTCTGATCGTTAAAATCAGTCAAGTGTCCAGATGTAGCTGTAACTATGGAAAGGGAAGAAGGCATCAGCTGCTAGATTGGATTGCCCTTGGCCTCCGGGTTACACGGCAGAGCCAGCAAATGCTGAACCACGCTGGGCTGGCTCCTTAAAGACCCTGTCTACTTTGTCTGATTCAGTAAGGGAGAGGGAGAGGGAAAGTATACGCAGCAGAGGGTCTTGTGGGGGAAACCCTGGCAGACTGGTGTTACTCTGTCAGGCTCGGCCAAAAGAGCAGCCCTTCACTTTCCACACCACACCATCTGCTCCAAGTGGAGGGATACAATGGATCCTCAGAAAGAGCAAGAAAGTGACATGGAGTAAAGGGGAGCTTTTTCTTTTAGCTAAGGTGAGGTTGGTCTGTTGGGAAAGTTATATGCTTACACTCAGCCTCGTTTGTATATCCTTTTTCATTAAGGAGTTGATACCATCGCTGAAATTAAGAGTATTGGTAGCACAAAGACATTGAGTTTTCAGCTCCGTAGTTTAAACATAATATCGCCTCCCTTCAGCTACCAATTAGAAAGCCTCATATTTCCTGATGAGACATTTTCATCTCCAATTCACTCACAGCTTGCAAATGTAATTGTGATTGGACTTAGGGGTGGCGTGCAAGGCTATTATTTTGTCGTGATGGTGCTCTCACACCAGCTGGCCCACTGTTCGCCTGCCACATCTGACAAGACATAATCATTCTCAAAACACTTCCCCAAAGCCCAAAGTCATGAGAGGAAAATAGCTGCTCTACTTCCTAATTCCAGGTGTAAAGACAAGAAAATTTGTAGTCGGACCGTGAACAAATGAGGAAATTGATAGCAGCCATCTGGTCCATGATGCCACTAGTGCCAGTGAACTTGAACACACCTTGCAAAATGTCTGACAAGCTGTCTGTAACTTTACAGGCTCAAAAATAAATAAATGAGTTAATTAAGCTTAAAAAAACATTAGGCATGGACATGGTATCACCAGTTAAACTCAGTAATAAATTTAACAAGAATGTTAACAAAAAGAACTTTAGAAATGTCTTACTCTGTTTTAAAATAAATGGATAGAATCAGTGGAAGCTAAAAGGAAACACACGGCTCATTTAGAAATATTCTGTCTTATCTTTCTATTTGTGCAAACACTTTTGTTAAAGCCTTGAATATATGAATGCAAGAATAAAAGCCACAACATCTGGCGTATGTGGTTATTGTTTGATTATTTTTCTACTTTCTCTTGGTCTCTGTGTTTCTCTTTCTCCCTTTTCTCTTTTCATCCCTCCATCGGGAGTCCGCAGAAGCAAAGGATTATGGATCTCTGGAAAGCGTTCACCCTTGGGTCAGAAGACAAGACAAGGCGAGGTAATGAAAGATAAACAGCTCGCTGCAAACACCTGTTAACGTCCGCTTCAAAGAAAAGACGGAGAGGAGGGGGGTTAGCAGGGAGGGAAAACAAAAAAAGAAGTATTTGGCTGCCAAGCAACAGCCAAAGGGCCCCCCGGGCTGTTGACAGATCTTTATGAAATAAAAAAAAAGAGAGAAAAGAAACGACAATGATTGTGGGCTTTTTGCAACAGCGATGGATGATAAGAGGAACACAAGAGAAAACACAAGCAATCATAAATATACATCTTTCCCTGAGTCCTCAGGCAAACCTTTTGTGACACGCACACACAGAAAAAACACACAAAAAGCCTCAGCACTCAGGTGTAGGGAAGAATAAAACAAGGTGTTCACTCAGCTAATATATCCACAATAGGTAAAACGCTATAGGATCATTTTTTTAAGTGAATAATGCATATTAATGATTTGAAAAAAAAAAGTTTTGAAGCACACAAATCAAACTTTTATGAGTTTGGAGGGTGCTAAATGCTATCATTGTTAGTAGATATAAGCAAAATAGAGAAAGGACTGATTGTAACTGTTTAAGCTATTTGTCTTGTGTCCCCTCTCTTGTAGGGTTTCAGTTTGAGCCCCTCATAGGGGAGAACCTCTATGCAATTATTACATATTATATATTACACTGTTGTGTGGCAACTTTCTAAATGCTGAAACCCTTGTCTGTTTTTGTTAAAGTAAAAAAATGTTTTGCAGACTGAATATATTCTAGTAAGTGATAAATTACAAAGTGGCTTGGAAAGGAAATAGTTTTCAAGATAGAAGAAGGAACTGTACAGTACTGTGAGAAGGAAGAGGTACGGGTTTAAAAATAAATGCAACAATGGACAAGAGAACAGCAGTGGGAGGAAAAGTGATTCATCAACAATTTCTCAGTTTCTTAGGCTAGTTTCAAACAGACTCAAAAAGATTTGATTTTTAACTCTTTATGCTTTAGATGCATTGTTTCGCTGATGTCTCTCAAGGGGTATCAACACAAGAGATCAGATTTTTTCCTAGATAAAATGGCATAACAGTTATTATCAAGATACACTTATCCTTGGCTTTAAGGCCTTTCAACACACATCCCAAAATGATTTTTTTTCGAAAGGATACATTGCTGCCTGAGTAAGGTGAGATGTCAGCCATGTCTTGAAGGTCGCCGCACTCAGACTTGATGAGGGACAAGGAGAGCCCTTCGGCTGTGCTGCCCGGGTGTGCTGGTGAACAAGAGCGATGGTGGTGCCCCAAGTGGTGACCCGACGCCATCTTGGTCCTCAGGCTGGTGGTTTCTCGAGACAGGTCCATGGAGTCTGGTGAGGCACGGTCCTTACCTGTGTAGCCACCCGTGGGAGCTCCAAGGGGAGTCTGGAAAGGATACCCCATGAGCGGCAGTGGAAAGGGGTGTCTAAAGGATGGAGGGCTGAAACCCATGGTGGCAGAGAGGGAGGAGGGATGAAGGGCCGGATGGTGATGACCACCATGGGCACCAACAGCTGAAGATTGGTGGTGGTGCTCACTGGGTGTCTTCCTTACTACTAAGGGCAGGGCCTCAGTTTGGTCATTGGTAGGACCTGGGATCCCCGGCATGCTGGCAAACGAGTCCAGTGTATTGGGAATGATGACATCGCCAAAGCATTGCAACCTCTGGTTGGTGGTGTGGAAGTTTGGGTTGTCCCCGTTGACAGTGCTGGGAAATCTTTCGGGGGGGATGGAAAGCGGAGGGAAGGCCTGCTGTGGAGTGGGGCGCGGAGGCTTGGCAAACACCTTGACCACCGTGTCCACAACCTGTGTCATAGCCGAGTTGAGTTCCTGCTTCAGTGTCTCTGCTAGCTGTTTCCCTTCAGCGTGCATAGAGGTGCCAGGACCTCCCAGCCCTTTGCTTCGGCCAAGCCCCTCTCTTCGTGGCTTTTCTCCAGTGGCCAGTAGTACCTGTTCCTGAAGCAAAGCCCGTGCCCTGTTTAGGAAATGGCCGGGATCCAGATCAGACATCTCGTCAGAGCGCAAGTCATCACCGCCCCGGTCATCGGCGCCGGTGTCAGACCTGGCCGGGCTGTCTTCGGACATGTTTCCTATGTCGTTGTGCAGGTCGTTATGTTCTGAGTCATCAGCTGAGTCATAGATCTGAAAAAACTTCTCCTGCAGCTGCCGCAGCTGTTTCTGCATGTCCTCCAGCTGCAGCTTGAGTTGCCGCCGCTCCTCCTGCTTCTGCTCCTTTCTCTGGCAAACCAGCTGGGTGAAACTCTGCTGCTGCTGCTGAGGCAGCCGCTGTTTCCGCTTGTTCTCCCGGCTGCTGCTGCACACCTCACCCCCCCGTGGGCTGCTGGGGGCCTGCTGTTGAGACTGAGGAGGTGGGCAATCCAGCTCCAACTCTCGCTCTCCGTCTATTTCGTGGTCACGGTCAAGGCGGGAAGCGGCTGGCATCACCACACTCGGCGAGTGGCTCATACCCCGTATAATGTTCTCTACACGGGCTCGCTTTGCACGCAGGTGTTCGTCGTTGAGGCGTTCGATGTCAAAGGTGGCTAAGCCAGGTGGGCGGCCGAAGGGCGACAGGCATTCTTGAGGGGTGCTGTCCTGGGAGGAGTTACTGCAGGCATCCTCCTGTGGGGCATCTGAACTTGCATTGGAAAGTCCTGATCCAGGGAAGCCCGTCTCCCCTCTGTCACCTCGGTCCCCCCTTTCGCTCCTCTCAGGACCACCTCCATTTTTAGCAATATTATTCTTGAGAAGCTGAGAGATAATGGTAGTGCCAGGGAAGGGCATCATGCTGTCCTCGTACGAGTTGGCCCTCTTCAGCAGCTTTCGGAGCACGTTGGACTTGGATTCACTGTCGCTGGCTGATACGACGCCAGGCCCACCATGCGGCTGCACTACAGAGCACTCCATGGAGTCGTTGTCTGATCCGTGGTGAGAATGGGAGCTCAGAGAGTTCATGGCACTGAAAATGGCTGCTTTGGCTCGAGCAATATTATCAGTCGTTGCTGCTGTGGCTGCTGCTGTGGATGAGGCTGTGCTGCCCACGGTCCTCTTAACACCAATGTCCACGCGTCTTCGCTTCGTCTGTCTGTTCAGGAGGGAGTCGCTGTCATGGTCCGGCATCACGGGCTGCTGCTATTGGGCCATATCCCACAAACCCAGTCCTCTAGGGTCAAAGCTCTGAGTATCTGTGAAGGAGAAACAAATTCATAGATGCATGACTCCCCAAAGTGTTCTTAATTTTTCAGCATTTGACTCAATATAGGCTCGTCCTCTATCACCTAAATATCAGCACCCTATCGACATCACGCAAAAAACACTAAACAAAGCCAAACCAAGCATTAAAAAATCTGAAACAATCAAAGTATGGTGAATATTTACAGTAATGCGTCTGCATTTCTGTAATTCATCTGCAAGTGATTACTCAAAATTCTTATCTCAGTCCATCGGGTAATTTTAAAAATGCGCACCTACAATGATGATACCCTCTGATTACATGAAGGGAGTTAAGATCATGACATAGGGGTAAAGAGAACAGGCGATATGAGGTCAGAATTAGGCCTTGCTCGACATTCCAGGGCAAAGTCCTACATTTTATTCTGTCCCCTGTTACATGCAGCGCGACACTGAACCAGTTCCCACGGAACACAAAGCTGCATAAAATTATGATAATTACTTAAGTACTTGTCCTCATTTCCATGATTGTGCAGTGTGAGCCCACATAGAAGCTCCAAGCTCACAAAATCAAATAAAAAAGAAAAGAGGTTCAGATTATTTTTTAAATGGCATACAGAATGACACAATTTACATTTTACCCATCATGCTAATGAGCTTGAATAAAATATTTACGAATACTACAAATCGTGTTTACTGTTTGTGGAATTTTAAAATGCAAGACCCACACTCAATTTGATCAATATGGCCATCATATCTCACTCAGCAGAGAGAGTGACACAAAAAAGAAACACAAAATAGACCTATTGATTTTGGTGCCAGCGTGAGCTCACTTCTGTGTTTTTTGTTTGTCTTTTCATCTGGCAAGGGCAGTTAATTCTGCTCAAATGAATAGGTCACAAGGGTCAACTCTGGCAAAGAGCAACTTAAAGCGCTCTTACAAAAACCCTAATGCCTCTCTGAAAGCAAAACGTTTTGTCAGTACAGGGCTGCATCAGTAATGCTATGTAAGCATCAGTGGCAGTGTCTTAGTTAGAGCCACACGGACGCTCCTCGTGCCAAAAAAGAGACATTATCACATGCAATTAAATGTCTTTGACCGGTGAGAGGAATCCGGATATTTTTCTTGCGTTCGTAAATGTATCGATGGTAGAGTTTCGGCAGCCTTTTTCCCCCTTTTTTTTAACAGCAAAAACCTAATTGAAAATTATTTGTCTTTTTATACGCTTCAGAAAAACAGATGTCCTATTTAAAACACATTGATTCAGTTGAAAAAAACTAAATTAACTTTGATTTCATTGATATCATCAGTTGTTATCCTGAACCATGTTATATTTTATGTAAATCTGCTAACTAGCAATGCAAGTTGACAATATTTAATATAAAATGAACATTTAAGAGAAATTTAGTAGATAATGGGGATTCAAATAGATATATGTTAATATATGTTAATATATCCAACAGGCTCTCTTAGGTAAGTTGAAGCAAACAAGAAGTTTACATTTTTTCAGATCAACAAAATACTCTTTTTGACTATTTGCTTTAACTGATTTAACTGAATTATCAATGCACATTTTAAGACTTCTCTCCTGTCTCTGAGCCTCACACTAAAACTGCCCTGACAGAAACACAGAAACACACTCAGACACACACTCTGCTCTTGGCTTTGTTACCCCCTCACACAAGTGGCATACAATCCTAAATTACATTCCCTTAAGGCATTTGGTAAAATGACTTATTGGGAGATGTGAAGGCTAAGAGATTTGGTGAGAGCATTGTGGGCTCTACTTTGTCCATGTTCCGAATGAAACCCCTTGATAAATCGACGTGGCTGTTTGTTGCTATTTCCAGTATTTCAAACAAGATTAAATACGTCTTTAAGGGGTTAACTTGACTCGCCTCAGGATCTTAACAAAGCCCTGAAAATAGTCGCCAGCACCTGTCTTCTTTTAAGGCGCACCTGTCCCACATTGCCCATGCGCACTCTCTCTGCCCCTTTCAATCTCTCCCATAAAGAAAGCCCTAAAAACTTTCAAGCGGCGATCAAAACGGGTGGATATAGATTTACTTTATATCCAGCAGCCTATGTTAAAACCATCTTTATTATCCGGAAAACATACATTCTTATTCCAAGCCTTGTATTAAAACAAATAGGAAACGATGTTCTAATTGTTAAAACAACATCTAACTTTTAAAAAATAGCAGATATAGTTTTGTTTTGGCACAGAAAAACGATGGACCGGTGGTATCTTGCACAGTCGGACAGACTCACCAACCAAAGCACAAGAGACGCGAGTTGCGGACTCAGTTCAACTAAACCGGCTGGGCTTAATCTCCTCTGTCCCAGAAGGAGCCGAGGAAGACAGCAACCAAAGCACACACAACCAGAAGTCCCCGCAACGGATATCAAACTGATTTATCAATTCGTGTCTGGAAATGGAAACGCACGAAACCTGACAGGAAGATTCCGTCTAACGGGACAGAGACCGGGGCGCAGCCGGGACCGATGCGCGCTTTTCCCACTAAACAACAGAAAGCCAGACCTGTTAGTTTTTTCTCCCGTCACTGCCTGCACCGTGCCGGCTGAGAAAAAAAAGTACGCTCCGCAAACTTACTGCGTAAAGTGGCAAATCAACTTGATCCCTGCTTTGGTGAGGAAGGCTGGGCTAGCGTCCGCACATCATCCTCACTAAAAACCCGGACAGCTCGGACAACTCTCAACACACGTCCAAAACCAGGGGGACAAAATATAGCGAGTCAAGTCTTATTTGCACAATTATCTGCTGACCATCTGGAAAGATCTCCCCTCTCGACGATGTTTGATTTGTTTTTGTTTTTTTTCTTTTCTTTTTTCCGCCCACCTCTCACCGGCGAGGCAGAACCACAGCAAGAGAGGGAGGTATATCCGAGGACAAGGTTACTTACCCTTTAGATGAAGAGGGGGACAACCTGAACTCCTGCGAAGGGGGGAAAAAAGAAAAAAAAAAACACGCTGGCCACCGGCGGGTTGCTGGACGCAAGGATAGAAGAGCCTTTTTTCAGAGCAGAAAGAGCTGGGATAAAGTGAGGGAAAGGAGCAAATCAGAGCAAATATAGAAGACGAAAAGAGCTCTTGCGCTTCGGTCTCTTCTTCTATCCTCTGCTGTGAGTGAAAGAGTGAGAGACATAGAGAGAGTGCAGAAGAGGGAGAGAGAGAGAGAGAGAGGCTGCGCGCGTGAGTCTCGGAGGCGCACTGGATGCGGAGGACTGATGCTGGAGCGCTCCTCCGCCACTAAGATTCACTTTAAGACGCGGCTGAAGGAAACAGGAAGACGTGCGCGTCACGAGCGGCGTGATGTAACTGTCGCAACCTACCAATAAGAAGCGTCCGCGCGGGCCGGGGAACGGCGCACTGAACTTGACCAGAGTACTGGACTCGCTACAGCCGCAGTGAGGGAGAAGGGGAAAAAAAAAAGGAAATACCACTCTTACTAATCTCTTTCTTCCCAAATCGCCGACCACGCGAGTAAGAATCGTTACGCACTTTGACATTTCACTTCTTAAGCGGCAAAAAAACTACACAGATTACTTAGTTGCTTTTTTTAAAACTCATATTACCGAATCTTAAAGTAGTTATTTTCTATAATGACTAGAAAAGTGTCAGCTCTGCTTGGTATAAAACGATTACAAGTCTGAACAATGAGCCAACAATAAATTCTATTAATGCATCTTATATACAAGATTTGCATAAATGTACTAACATATTGTTTCCCCACGTAATATAGATTTTTTATTTAAAAGTTTTAAACCATTTCCAAAGACAAATGTTTCCATTTATGTCTACATTTATTTAAACACAATTACATATGAATCTATTATTAAAGTCTGCTTTACACTCCTTAACACTTCCTAAACGCTTGTTTCCATTGTGCTCATCAGAATCTTCGGAAATGTATTACCTCACATTCAAATCGAGTTTTTTTTCTAGAAGTAAAAATAAAGATATTTGTTTTAAATTGTTCTCTTCGAATTGAAGCGTTACATATTTACTTCACGGATTCTCAGAGGGACAGGCAGTTATGGGTCGGTTGAGTGCTGGAGGTTCAAAGTGGGATGCAGGGAGATTTTACAGGCTGACTTTTCTGATTGGTGGCAGCGACAGTGTGATTTATGAACGAGCAGAACTGGATTTCAGATTAACAAGGAGACGCCAATATCTAAAGAGACCAAAAATGTGGCTCTGTGGATTGCTTAGTTAGCTGAAGAGCGTCCGGAAGCCCATCAGTCTCTGGGATCCGCAGCCTGCTGCTGCCACCCAAATTCCTGCGCGCGAGCAGAGCTGGCTCTGTCATCAGGCTTTACTGGTAAACCTGAGAACAAAATGCAAACCAATTTCCAATTTGATGGCGAGGTTTTCTCCTCTTCTCAGCCCGTAACTCTGAAGCCCGCGGACTGTGACGTTTGGTTATTTCCAAAAGAAAAGTGGCGCAAAGCTCGGTGTTTGTGAAATGATGACGGCTGCTGTCTTTCAGTTGTGCAAACCTGATGCTCATAATTACATCTGGGCTTGTGCGCTCGGCAAAACAAGTGTTTTAGCTCAGGAGATGGACAACAGGTGATAGCTGCGGATTTTGATGCGTTTAAGATATGTGCTCGTGCTGGGGAGTTTTAGTTAAATCTATGCATGCTCGTGGCGTGGTCACGTTAGTTTTAATGCAATCGTGCATTTCGTGAAAAAGATTTAACAGTTTTAGACGAATATATTTTATTGTTATTATAATTATTATTTGTTGGGAGCTAAATAAAATCAGATTTTTAATAATAGATTAATTTAATTGACAGAAGGAAAAGTTATTTTTCTTTAAAAAAAAAACGTGTTAATCAGTTTCAATCTATCTCTATTTTCCATTTCATTTGTTACAGCCATAATCTTCTTTTTTTATCCTTTGCAAAAACAGGATCCTAAAGCA